ATAGCCTTTTAATATGTTTTAACTCGGTGAGAGGAGGGCCTACTATATAAAGGACCCTCCGTGAATGTAAGAGGAGGAGTCCATGCCCAGATAATAGAGAAACACCATTTTCTTTACTACTATTGTTGCCATTTCCCAGAAGCCGCATTGTGAAAGGTGTATCCACCAACCAAGGTTGTGTTGGACCTCCCTGGGCCCAAAAATCCTAAAACCAACAATAATAATAGTTAATACCCATTTTGGTCCCTCAACTATAGATAAAATGACCTTTTTGTCCTTTCCTATAACGGTGGATGGATGACAATTGTAACGGAAGACCAAATTGGATATGATTTTACAAGTTAGAGGACTAAATTGAATACTTTTAATAGGTTGGGACTAAATTACGTTTTACCTAATAATCGAGAGACTAAAATGAGTATTAACTCAAAAATGTATATTGCTTCTTAGTGGCAATTGGCAAAGATTGAGAACCCTTTACACGCTATTTTCCAAGGCTTATATCCAAGGTGGAGCATTTAATGGCCTCAACCAAAATGAGAAATTCAAACCATAAATGCTTATTATTGATTACTCCGTATAATTTAGTTGGGCACAACATATGGAAAGAAACCTCAAGTGGAAATAGGTCGGACTGAGCTAGACTTTTGAAAATTAGCTCTGTGCTTGCTATAGGAATTTAAGGTCTGAGCCTGTATGCAAGCTATTTTAAGCTCAAGTCTGAGCCTACAATTAGCCTAGTCTAGCCTGAAACCTATTTAAAAGCCTGAAAAGAAAAACATATCTATCACAATAATTTGAATATCTACTTTGGCTTAGGTACTTCAAAGCCTAACATGATAATTAATCATCTTTAAGCAAATACAAATTTCACACTTGAATTAGTTTTATTTGCTTCTTTATTGACTATGTTCCTAACTTGGAAATAGAAAGGAATTAAAAGATCTTGCATGTTAAAATATAAGTAGAGTTTGAAGACTATCCAGTGTCCATGTATACATAAAATAAATAGAAGACTTAAGAGCACTCAATATATAAAGCATCATGAACTTCACTCAATATATAAAGCCTCATGAACTTTTAAATAGAAGAAGTCAGGAAAACTATTCTATTTACTTGTGAGAATGGAAATATTGAATAGCCAAATAGCAGAATAGGAAATAATTTTGGGTGTTAGGGTTTTCTAATTCACATATATAAATAGGTCAGGCCGTAGGCCTCTCTACAAAGGGGTATAGCCTATTTCTGCCCCTACTCCCAAGGTACTCATTTCAGTCCCATTTTATGTGATTGGCAAGTCAATGAGAATTAACAAGACGTGGCTGGAGTTATTTGTAATTTAATATTTAATTTATAATATTAAGGTTTTGTTTGAAAACTTAGAAAATGACTTCTGAAAGTCATTTTCTGGCCATATTTTTCAGTGTTTGGGTACTTAAGAAAATGAAGTCAAAGGAAAATATTTATTTTAATTTGGTCAACAGAAAAAAAAAAAAAAAAAAAAAAAAAAAAAAAAAAAAAAAAAACGTATTGGAAAATGTCAAGTTTTTTAGTCGGAAGATATTTTGTGGATTCTTTATTTTCCAACTCTCTCACCTCTCTTCTTTTTAAAGTTAGTTTACGGATTATTATTGTTACGACCACCACAACTACCAAACTACCACAATCATATCACTACTACTACCACCACTACCACAACACCACCATCACCAACACTAACACCACCGTACCACTACCACACCACCACCACCACCACCACCACCACCAACACCAACACCACCACTACCACCAACACCAATACCACCACAACCACTACTGTACCATCACCACCACCATCACCACATATTATTATTATTACTAGTATTTGACTATTTTCTATGCGCCATGCGCAAAAATCAATGCCCAGTATTAGTACTATATATTAAAATTTTAGATTTTAGATATTTTTTAATAATAATAATAATAATAATAATAATAATAATAATAATAATAATAATAATAATGTAAATCATTGTTTATAAATTTAGATATTTATATTTTAAGAAATAACTATATAGCAAGGTTGCAAAACACGTTAGGGGCTCCCTAGGTTTCTTTCACAATCATAGCTTCAGCGAAATGAGCATCATGTAAACAATGAAATGAACCATTTTTGGCTGCTACGAAGTTTCGGTCACCATCTAGAATTACCAAACCAAAATAAGCTTGATCTGAGCCTGGAAAAACAGCTGCGTCAACGTAGATACTTAACACATCAGTAGGGACAATTGGAATACTAACCTCATGTCCTCATGTAAAACATGAACACTTCTAGAATCTCCCATATTCGGCAACACTTGCCAGCTTGAAACTAGCCGTGAAGCCTCCATTTTAACAAGAAGGGAATCTCAAAGTTTACCACTCCAGATCACGTCATTCCTACTTCTCCAAATACACCAACATTTCACTACAGCATAGAGCAACTGCATTGCATCTCCATTAGATAAAACATTTTCCAACGAGCCTGCAAAATCATCAAATCTCGTTAGAAGGTAGATGACCATCATAATCCATTATTTATTATTATTATTATTATTATTATAACAAATGTTACGTTCATTTTTAGGAAAATGATAGAAAAATACAATTATTTCTTAATTTCAGCCAAACAGGAAAAAAAAAAAAAAAAAAAAAAAAAAAAAAAAAGATAATTTGTTGACATTCAACCAAACACTAGAAATTAAAATATTTTTTGGAAAATGAGTCATTTTTTAGAAATCATTTTTCAGAATTCCAAACGGACCCATTAGTTCTGTCGGATAGGCTGTCTTACCAAAAACCTTTCCAACTGACTTGGTGCCTAAGTTTAGTATTAGTATATAAAATTTATATATTCTAAAATTATATTAAAATACTTTCAAACACAAAAAAAAAAAAATAAATAAAATAAAAATTATAAAAAATATACTAAAGACATTAGCAAATATAAAAGAATTAATTTGACTAATAAATAATAAATATGATAGATAAAATGAAACAAGAGAATAACAAATGACCTAAATTATTGTCCTTAAATAGAAAGGTGGCCGAGGATGAGGATTACAATTCAACTGAGGATGATCATTGCTCGTCCTCATCCATCAAGGAGCATTATGTTCGATACTTGTGGAGATACTTGTGGAGAGTTTGAACTTATGACCATCTTTTTAGAATAGTAATTAAGATGCTATCACAATACATGACACTTGACTTATTAGCCAAACAACAACAAAAATATTTAAGTAATTTCTGGCAATTTATATCATGGGTCAGAGTTCATATAATATTATGGACCCTGAATTGAAACGACAAGGTACAAAACTTATACTCGTAAAGTACAGAATTTCATAACACGGGAGACACAAAAAAATATTTACTTACTTTTTAAATCTGATTTAGGTACATAATTTGTGTGTTCATAGGCACAAAATTTCATAACACAAAGAAACAAAAATTCATAACATAAGACACAATTAATAATTTGTTTCATTTACAAAATCCATAAGATACATAATTTAATAACACAACACACAAAAAACTGACAATATAAGACACATATACATGCACCAAGATTCACAATGCACTATGAACCCAGGTCCATGATATAAGGATTGGAATTTTTTTTTCATTAATCAACTCAATTTCAATTCGTTTCCGCCGTGAATCAGGACGTAATTAAGTGAATGAGTTGTTATGCCATGGATCCGTGTCCACCTTGCAAGGTGAACACCGGTCCAATCCGATGATGTTCTGTATTTCGGGAGTAACGGTGTTGTTAGTGGCACGATTTTTCCTCCACCAATCAGATTTTTTTTAAGTTGTCAAAAAAAGTTAGCAACATAAAAAATTGTGGATATACTGTTACATAATTGTGAATATAGAGTTTTGCAGTTGTGAATATAGAGTTCAAGAATTATGAATATAGAGTTTAAAAATTATTAACATAGTTATATAAAATTATGAACATAGAGTTCTGTAATTGTGAATATAGAGTTCAATAATTATGAATATAGAGTTCAAAAATTATGAACATAGACTTCTAGAGTTCATAAATTATGAACATAGAGTTCAATAATTATGAACATAGACTTCTAGAGTTCATAAATTATGAACATACAATTCTATAATTATGAACATAGGGTTCTCTAATTGTGAGTATAGAGTTCAATAATTGCGAATATGTAGTTAAAAAATTATAAACATAGCGTTCTATAATTATGAACATAGAGTTCAGAAATTATAAACATGGGACTTCCTGAAGATAAACGCCGTTAACGGCGAAAGAAAATAAATCTTTTTTAATTGACACGATGTTGTTTTCCACCAAAACGACATTGGAATCGTGTCCACTTCCACAACATAATTTGCGTGAGTGAATTGAGCGAGTAGAAATGAGTAGTTATGCTGTGCATCCGTATGCACCATGCATGGTGCATACGGATGCAAAAACGACGTCGTTTTATTAAAAATGCGCATCTCCCCTTATAAAAAAAATTCAGGTTCGATTCCCAGCAACAACATTATGTTGTTCATTCATTCTGGAATTTTAGTTAATAGATTATGTAATTTTAGTTAATAGATTATGTAATTTTAGTTCATCGATTATGGAATTGTAGTTCATCGATTCTGAAAGTTTAGTTCATAGATTTTGGAATTTTAGTTCATTCATTCTGGAATTTTTAGTTCATAGATTAGATTATGGAATTATAGTTCATCAATTATGGAATTATAGTTCATCGATTTTGGAATTTTAGTTCATATGTTGTTGCTGGGAATCGAACTTGAATTTTTTTTAAGGAGAAACGCGCGTTTTTAATAAAACGACGTCGTTTTTGCATCCGTATGCACCATGGTGCATACGGATGCACAGCATAATTTGCCAGTAGAAATGGATTGGGCCAATCATAGGCCTATTTTCATCTAATTCGCCCCAAATCTATTCTTCTAGTTCTCCAATTGGACTTAAGTAACTTAACTATTGATACGGACCCTGCTGTGATGGCCCGACCCGTTAAAAGTATATTGTCGCCGTGGTGCACCACCGGAGCTACAACAGCGATCTTCTCCCGCCAGTCGACAAGCCAATTCCGAGCACTTAAAACATCCAAATGTTGAGAGCAATTTCTCAGATACGATCCTATCCGTTGAGCCTCAGAACCCTAGCGAACCTTTCCTTGCTGCAGCCAAGCTTCGACTTCTCCATTAACACTTCCTTCCGCTCACTCTGGAGTTCGCCGCTGCTACAGAGGCGCCAAGATGAGCAAGGAAATGATGAGTACAGCACACTACCATCAAGGATCTTCGTGGTGCAGCCTCGGTTGAGGCCCGATTCTGTTTTGAAACCGAAGCTTGACGAAGCTCTCAACCTCGCCAATTCGCTTGAAGAACGGCGAGATGGTTTCTACGAAACCGAGTTCTCCGAGAAAGAGGTGCCTCCTCATATCGTTGTTCAGAATCCAGCCGCCAGATGGCCTCGTGCTGGTAGCCTATTTTTTTCTTATTTTTTTGCTTCATGCTTTATCCCTGTTGCATGTCCTGTGTATAATGTACTCCATGTTTCCATGTCTCCGCTCTGTATATCTTTTTGAGCTGCAGGCCAGCAGCTTTGGATAGGCTATGCCGTATTGTTTACTTCGACTCATGAGTTGAAGGTCTGATAAGTCATTTATAGGGGCACAGTAGTGTTAAAGAAAATGGTGCTCTCTAGTTCTTAGGATCGTGTGAATAGAGCGGTCTGTACAACTCAGGAAGTTGCCTGTTAAGTAGTATCTCAAACTGAATAATCCCGGATATTAGTTGGATTGGAGAAGCAAGGGGGGGCATGAATGTTCTATTTATAGCTCTTTGTGTAGAAAGGAGAATACTTTTTCTGTATATTTAGCCTATGCATCTTTTCCTATCTATTTTCATCATTTTTTGCTAAATACATGTTGATCTGGTATCTTGTAATATGGCAGATACATATTTTGGAACAGGGACAGTAAGCACAATAAAATGCCATATAAATGCATTGGAATCAGAGGTATGGACTTTTCGCTTGTGCAGAATAATCTTTTTAGCCTCATTGAAGTGATAGACTTTTGGATTTATGTTGCTTATCTTTGCATGTTATTGATAGGGTGGAGTAGATGCAGTTTTTGTAAATGCAATGCTTACTGGAATCCAGCAGCGGAATTTGGGGGTACGTTGGAATAATTTCTACATACAAGTTTATGCAAATCTTTTGGCTTGAATTGAAGTATTCATTGGTCAAGTTCTTCAATAATTTTATTGCTTCTCCTACCAATGACAGCGTGAATGGGGTAGACCTGTTATTGATCGTGTAGGCCTTATCATAGAAATATTTAATGCACATGCACAGACAAAGGAAGCGAAGTTACAGGTAACCTGTAATCGCTCTGCATTCTAATTGTGCTTTATTTTCTATATCATAATGATTTATATTGCACTTGTGGAGAATGAGGAGCTATTAGATTTCTGTATGGCTTTATTTCTGAAACTCTTAGTTCATAGGCTGAGTTGGCAGCTCTTATGTATAAGAAGAGCCGACTTGTACGCCTACGTGGTCCTGGTGGACGCTGTACTTTTGGTGTAATGGGAGAGGCAGAGGTAGTTAGTGCCAGAGGGTAAGTTTATTGTTTGCTTGTTTTGTAGATTAGCAGACAATATAAACATCTAGCAGTAGTTTCCTATTAATTTCTTGACTTCAATTCATAATATCTTGGGCATTATATTCTCTTTTGTTTGTATTCTAATTAGTAACAATAGTTGCTAGTCTGAAAATGTTCTGAAGGATTCAGTAGTAATTTACAGGAGAGGAAGTGGAGGACGTGGTTTTATTAGTGGTGCTGGAGAGTCAGAACTGCAGCTCCAACGACGAAGGTATTTGTTGTTTACTGTCTCAAAGAATTTTATGCTCAATTATTAGTTAAGAAATATTGCCTTGTTTGTATGATTGGATTGCATGAATTATGTTACTGTTGACATGCTTATATTTGCTTAAATTTTCTTCAATTTCAGAATTTTAGAGCGTAGACTGCAATTGTTATCTGAAATCAAAGAGGTTCGCCGTACACGGGCCTTGCAACGTGCTTCTCGCAAGAGGCATGCAGGCTCAATTGGCCAGGACATTGCTACTGTTGCTGTTGTTGGTTATACAAATGCTGTAGGTTGATGGTGCATATATATATATATATATATATATATATATATATATATAGTTGTCAGTTGTGTACTTGCCACAATTTCATGTACAAAATTGTGTTGATAAATTGTTTTATTCACAGGGAAAATCTACACTAGTTAGTGCCCTTACAGACAGCTATCTCTACAGTGATGATCGGTATGGGAAATCACTTGGAAATTCTGATTTTGATTCTAAGCAGTATTTCTTGCATTGCTTAAAGAACATGCACTCCCAGTTCCTTATCTTCTCTCCTACTGTTGTATTTGTTGTCCCTTTTATTTCTTGGCAGATAAAATAGCATCATCACTAACCTTGGTTCTCATTCTGCAGAATGTTTGCAACAGTTGATCCAAAATTAAGCAGCGTTATTCTTCCATCAGGGTAAATATAGATATGAGTTCCGTGTTTCATAATGGAACTGTGCATTGATATTAGGCCAACGATTTACTTTGTCTTATTCTTGTAATAAAATATTTTACTCAGGAGGAAGGTCCTTTTAAGTGATACAGTCGGATTTATATCAGATTTGCCTGTACAAGTAAGTAGCTAGTTAATCAGCTCTTTCCCTTCTTTGATATGGCTATTCATTGTTGATTGACTAGTATATTTTCAGCTTGTGGAAGCATTTCATGCAACGTTGGAAGAGGTTGTTGAAGCTGATATCCTTGTGGTACGAACTCTTTGTTTTTCTACCTCACTATAAGTTGCATAGGTCCTCCTGGTACCATTCAAGAACTTCTCTTGGATGATGTGATAGGAGTAAAATTGCTTCATGCCTAATCCTTTTATTTCTTCTTTATTCGTGTCTTTCGTCCCATTGATAGTTCTGCTAGGCTATGTAAATATTAAGCACCGAAAACATCTATATTGCAGCATGTGCTGGATTCCAGTGCACCAGATCTTAATGAACAACGGGAGACAGTTTTGCAAGTTCTTGAGCAGATAGGTGTATCTAAGGAGAAGCTTAAAAACATGATTGAAGTTTGGAACAAGGTACTATTACTTACTGGCCCTTTCCTTGCTTGAGGAAAATCTTATGAAGGAGAAATGTATAAAGTCTCATTACTTTTGATTGCCTTTGCAAATCGGTTCATAGATTGATCTTGAAGAAGAGGAAGTTGGTTCTGATGAATATGGTAACGAAGAAGAAGTCCCTGAGGAAGAATATGATAGTGTTCCGTCAGACCAGCTCTCTGGAGCTGATTGTCATCATGACAATGAAATTGATAAAGATATGAATCCTGAATGGGAAATGGATGACCAACAAGGTGCCAATTGTGAGAGCTGGTTGGCCTTGGAGGGCGAGCAAGACTTATGGGTTAACTATGATGATTCCTCTGTTGGATTCGGGGACTCGGAGGATTCTTGGAAGGTTCTGCCCAAGGGCTGGAGGACAGGAAGAGGAAGAAGAGATTCACAGGTTCAATCTGGACCTCTTCCACATGTCAAAACATCTGCACTAACAGGAGTTGGCTTGCAAGAGTTGCTGGAGTTGATTGATGAGAGGGTGACGCAGACACCCCAAGACACACCAGATGCAACCATCTTCAACCGCAAATGGAGGCCACCACGGACTGAAGATGCTGACATCGCAATTGGACAATGAGATGGATTAGGCAAGCAAACACGCATATAGCCAGCCAGCCAATAGCACGCTCCTTTCTTCTACCATCTGTCTTATAAGGCATGATTTCAACATGGATGGTTGAAGTCAAGAAAAATGCCGTTTCTTGTAGCTCCTGAAAACCATCTCCATCAAGTTTCCTACCCAGCGTTTAGCCCTCCCTACCAATGCTGCCAGAGCCCAGAGGTACTCATCCATCCATCTTCATGCTGGAAATGATCCATCACTGGTAAAGAATATGAAGTTACCCAACTGTACATTTTAGAGGGAAAATGCAGTCTCATATGTTATAAATTATACCAAGGGATGAAATATTGACAACTCTTTTCCTTCTGTTTTAATGTTGCTTTCCCTATTACACATATCATGTGAGATGACTTTAAATACAAATAAAATGAAAAGTTTGAACTTTTGCAATAATTTATATAGTTTCAGTGGGTTCCAATTTTGATCAAAATTAATATATGACCTTACAATAATAAATTAAAATTTAATTTGTCCACATGGGTAACTTAATTGGTTTTTGTATGATAAATTAAGGTAATGATGTGAGAAATGTGGTGGTCTCCACAAATCCGTATAAATAGCAAATTGGGTTGTAGGTGAGCCCTTCTATTGTCTGCTTGTTGGTGGTTTAAGTCTTTGAGTTCGGATTACGTGATAGTGGGTCAGAGGGTCCCGAACTTAATATAAAGTGTGTAGAACGTGCCAAAAATCCTTCCCACAAGCATTTAATGTGGTATTTATGTGAGGTGAAAGGGAACACATGCTGAGCCCTCGACATGTGTGACACGTGGAACCCATGCACAGGAGAAGGTTGAAGGCTTCGTTGATCCCTCCACGTGTCCTGAAATTCCTTACTCACTCGGTCCTGTTGCAATCGAGGAGCTCGTTGATCCCTCGGTCCTGCTGCAATCGGGGAGCTCGTTGATCCCTCCATGTGTCCTGAAATTCCTTACTTACTTGGTCCTGCTGCAATCAGGGAGCTTAGGCACTGCTGCTGAGCGAGGCCCTACTTGGTGCTGCAGATAAGGTTGTGTCCTGAAATTCCTTACTTACTTGGTCCTGCTGCAATCGGGGAGCTTAGGTACTGAGGCACTGCTGCTGAGCGAGGCCCTACTTGGTGCTGCAGATAAGGTAATGAGCGAGGCCCTACTTGGTGCTTACTTACTTGGTCCTGCTGCAATCGGGGAGCTTAGGTACTGAGGCACTGCTGCTGAGCGAGGCCCTACTTGGTGCTGCAGATAAGATAATGAGCAAGGCCCTACTTGGTGCTTACTTACTTGGTCCTGCTGCAATCGGGGAGCTTAGGTACTGAGGCACTGCTGCTGAGCGAGGCCCTACTTGGTGCTGCAGATAAGGTAATGAGCGAGGCCCTACTTGGTGCTGCAGGTCATACCCGGGGGTGATTCTCATCGGTGATTTGATCGGACATCGAGCAAATGTACGATATGTAGTGTGAGGTATATTCGGGAAATAATTCCTATCAGGTAAGGATACAATATTAAATACTTTGACAGTTGTAATGTGAGAGTTACACCGATAGGCCTTTGCTTACTGCGCACAAGGAACCTCATCACTTTAAGAGGTTACTCCCACGGTTATCGATAAGACTTGATCTCTAGTCATTCTTCTGAAATTTCACCTCAATAACTAACTGAACTGCTTATACAAGCAATTTGTAAGCATAAGTCGCACTAAAACTATTAAACCATCGTGATTTAACCCTCTTCCACTATCTGTTGCCCGTTGGACTGGGGTGTGGGTGACTGGGCTATTGGGTAGTACTGTAATTAATGAGTTATGAAAGAAAATTGGAGAGTAATTAAGATTACCGCCGACAATAGCATAGCTGGGGCATGATGGATATGCGCATTGCGCGTAACCCCGACCCCACTTCCCAGTTCCCACTCCTTCCCCCCTGTCTCTCTGGCTTCTCACTTCCAGCTTTATTACCACTATCTTCTTCTTCTCTTCTGTCGTTATCGCCGGAATTTAGATTCACCGGCGTTCAACAATTTGTTGTGTTCGTATACGTGAATATCAGAACTCAGCAGATCCGAGATCCACAAGTCTGAGGTGAATTCCCCTCCCCTCCTATCGTTTCCCCCATTTCCATTCCATTGCGAATTCATATTCTATCTGCATTCTTTCGTTGCCTTCTAAATTTCGGATCTCTGTATTATGAATTATGATGAGGAGCTTATAGGAAGAGACTGGGAACTGACTTCTTTTGATCTTCTGCGGATCCGTATTCATTCATCCGTCTCTGAGAGTTATATTCCTCCGCGTCGTAGTTAAACTTGTTTGTCTTATACAAAATTTGATCATGAGCATAGTACTACTTAGATCAAGTTAATAAATTAGTATATAGCTATATTAAGAGGGTATGTGTTGAAAAGTTGCGTTCTTTATAACATTTGTTATAGACTTATTGCTGCTAGGCTGTTAATTCTTAAATGGAGCTGTAGATTTTGTCTCCATAAATAGAAAGTTCTGTACTTTTTCCTTGAATGTCGTGTTCCATACTAGCCTTAAGAGTTTTAGGCAAGTTTCATTAAATGGCAAGATTTTCAGTCTATAAGAGAATTCTGACTCAAAATCTTTCTTGTTTGATCAGTTTGTAGTCATGTCAAGAAGGCCAGGATACCCAACGAGGCGATTTGGAGGTGCTGGGGGGCTGTTTCATCCAAAATCACGCATTTCGCCTCTATTTTCTACAATTCTTGTCATTCTGGTACTTATAGCACTGAGTTGGATGTTTACACATTTATAAGTCAGTTTTATACCATATAAAGAGACTACTAAGATGAACTTATAACTTAGGCCACTCCAGAAATTTCAAATTTATAGATTTCTGCAATATAGCTTGATGTCAATGTGGAATTGCTTATGCTCCTTGTGTCTTACACTTTCAGGGTGTTGTCTTTGTGGTTGCTTATATTTATCGGGGCCCTGGTAAGAATTTTTCTTATACAGTATATGTTAATTTTTTCCCCCAAAAACTCAAAAGTATCCTGATTTACAGCACTTTATTTTATCAGTTTGGTGTCTTAGACTTTTAACTGTCTATTTACTTTTTTCTTCCCCCCAATTTAGGTATTGGTGCAAGTACAAGGGAAGCACTTAGCAAGATAGATGGTATGATTTTCTATTTTTCTTTTGGCTTGTGTATTGTCAACTTTCTACTCTTCAGCATACGGCTTCTTTCAGTATTCACCAACTCACCATACATAAATTGTGCAAAAAAGGGGAGTGGCCATCCTATAAGATTAAGAACCTTGTAGTGAAAATGATATATGTATTGTCTAGTCTTGAGGCTTGGGCATCAAATGAAACTGTAGTAACTACCTTTGGCAATTTTTTGTAGTTGGTATTATTGATATGATACAGATTTTTCATAAGACATGATAGGTGTTGTGAAAAAACTGGCATCTCTGAGTTGATACCTAAAGCCCAAAATCTCGATTGTTTACCATTTATTTTATGTTTCTTGCTGAATTATCCATAACCATGAGAAGGGCTACAATTTGAATGATAGACTATTTAAAAATATTTTGCTATTTCTATATCTTTTTCTGCAAAATGAAAACATGTCATTTGCTATTTCTATTTTGTCCTCTTTTCGATTTACACATTGCGCAATTGGCATCCAAGGTTGAGAAAATGCGTGAGTCCATCTTTGTGGGGAATTTCTAAATGAATATCAATTCTCAAGCTCTGATGATTTTAGTTTTTTTATTTTTTGGGTTTCACAACCTAATCTATTTCACTCTTTTCAATTTCACCAATTATCTATCTTTAAAATTGCAAATTTTCTTTAAGAGAAAGAAAGAGTGCATCTAAAGTTTCAAGTGTTAGTCTTTTTGCTGGAAAAGATTGTAAATTACTCCGTATTTGTAATATATTGAAACTCTTCCCAATTTTGGACTTTGATGTGACCAGGTGACTTTACATGCACATCTGAGGTTCAGAGAGCAACGGCTTATTTAAAGAGCACATATGGTGACAGTATGCGTAGTGTTTTGCACGTGGGACCTGATACTTGTTCAGTGGTCTCTAGATTGTTAAAAGAAGAGGAAACTGAGGCATGGGGCGTGGAACCATATGACATAGAGGATGCTGATGTGAACTGCAAACACCTTGTGCGACAGGGCATAGTACGTGTAAATGATATCAAGTTCCCTCTACCCTACAAGTCAAAATCTTTCTCACTTGTTATTGTATCTGATGCGGTGGATTACCTATCTCCAAAATATCTGAACAAGACAGTCCCAGAGTTGGCAAGAGTGTCCTCTGATGGTGTAATTATTTTCACAGGTAAATAATCCCTCATGCCTGTCCTCATACTTAGGGGTGTTAGCAAACAGAGCTTTCGATAAACTACTCGTGTTCGTGTTCGGTAAGCGTTCGTTTATTAAGGTAAACAAACATAAATGAACAAGTTTTAGAGCTCGGTTCATAAACGAACAGAATAGTTGTAGGCTCGTTTGCTAAGAGCTCGTTAACAAGTTCGTTTGTGTTCGTTTAATAATGTTTACAAACATGTTCGTTTGTGAACGTGTTCGTGAACGTTAACGAACACTAATGAATGTTTAATAAATGAACACGAACAAGATTTTCAGAAACCTTAACAAACAAACACGGGCACCAACACTCAATCTTAACAAACAAACACGAACAACCTCCGTTCGTTCATGTTCGGTTCGTTAACAGCCCTACTCATACTACCAAGAACATAAGTGATTGTATATATAATGTTAATTGAGCAGGTTTATGCCTTTATCACTAGTTTCTTGCCGCCAAAATACACATGATATGATAAACTGAAGTTACTATGGTTGTTTTTGATTGAATCTTTTGTTTTCTTAATTAACCAGGTTATCCAGGCCAATCTAGAGTGAAAATTGCAGAGCTATCCAAGTTTGGGCGTCCTGTAAGTTTCTTCTTGTTTGTTGGATTTCATGCAGATCAATACTAAATGGACTTCTCACTTCTCCATTGCCTTTTGATTAGTTTATACCTCATAAAACTTTAGTCTTCTGGGACACATCATGTCATCAGTGACTCCAGATTATATCACAACGTGATTTTATACATTTTATCTACTTATCATACTGAATGCATATGGTTTCTTGTTGATGATTCCTATGTTAATTTCATAGCCAAATAAACAAAAAAAGTATAGGGGTTTATGAATTTAATTGCTTTGTGTGAAGGCAAAAATGCGGAGTTCATCCTGGTGGGTACACTTCTTTGCTCAGACCAGCTTGGAGGAGAATGAAGCAGCAACTAAAAAGTTTGAGCAGGTTGCCACTAAGAGTGGGTACGTGCCAAGGTGTCAAATTTTCCATGTGAAATCATACCATTGATATAAAATATTTACAGATGCTTATCATCTTTTCATTATTGTTTCTTTTTTAGCAACAGATTTTAATATTCATTACTGGCCACACAAGTGTGCCTTGCTTTTAAGTTAATTCAATATTGTACACGAGATGATTATATTTCGTTCATATGAACAGTCAATAATCATAGAATAGAAGTTTGACAAAGAAAGATGCCTGAATTCTTTGCATGAGCAAATTACACTTTTGGTCCTGTGACTATAGAGGGTGTGTTAATTTGGGTAAGTGACTTTTAAAACTAACAATTTAGTCATTTAACTATCATTTTTTTTAGCAGATTTGGTCCTCCTGGCCAAATTGCCGGTAGAATTTGGCTGGAAAGACGTTCAACTTTTTAAATCAAATATTGGTGGGGGTAATTCGGTTCAACAATTAAAAAGACCGAATTACCCCCACCAATATTTGATTTAAAAAGTCAACGTCTTTCCGGCCAAATTCCACTGGCAATTTGGCCGGGAGGACCAAATTTGCTAAAAAAATGATAGTTAAAGGACTAAATTGTTAGTTTTAAAAGTCACGTACCCAAATTAACACACTCTCTATAGTCACATGACCAAAAGTGTAATTTGTTCTTCTTTGCATTCATGAATGTTTTAATTGTTATTGGTTATTGTAATGTTTATATTTATTCAATTTTTATTGAAATTCACATTTGTAAAATCAGAACTGCCTAAAGCCTGACATTTATCTAAATTAACTTTTGGCCTAAGTAAATATCATAATATATGTCCCATTTTACATGCAATCAGAGCTATCAGTTAATAACTAATTTTACCAAACACATTTTACAATCAGCTAATACTATCAGTTAATGGAATAAGTTATCAACTGATAGCTATTTGCGAAACACCATAATCTCTTTCTCTAACCATGTTCTTGGCTGAAGAATGTTGACACAATGATTAAAACGCCAGAAATTTAGAAATTTATCACCAGAAATCCCCACAAGAACATTGCCCATCCTTGAAACAGTGGAACCTGTGGCAATCTCTCACAGTGATCTCTCTTCTTGTTATAGCAGAAATGAGTTTGATTGCGTTGTGACAGTCGCCGCATATTCTCAAGTTCTTGATGACAAGTATAGGCATGCCATCTTTTGTTGACAACAGCCCAAAGGCAACAGCCAACTTTTCGCTGTGATGCCTTAAACATCTCTCCTTCTCTTCTTCTTGAACCCCATCGTCTCTGATGAGAGCCCACCTCACATCTGGCACATACCCTGCCTGCTTCATCTTCTCTAACATCTCTTCCCAGAACACATAGATTTCCTTTATCATCGGGTGCGAAATATCTTCAGCTACAAATACGTGTATCCTCTTATCTACCTCAATCCAGCTACATCCCGGCTTCTTTTTCACTCCCTTGTCTCGCATTTGCTTTCTGATGGCTGCTACTTCTTCCCATCTCCCTGAACTGGCGTGCATATTTGCAAGCATGACATATGGAGCTGCATTTGAAGGGTCCAGCTGAAGACAATGATTGGCTGCTTTCACTGCTAGCTCTATGTTACCATGTGTTCTACAAGCCCTAAGCAATGAGCCCCAGCCAATAGTTCCAGGACTGTATGGCATGGTTTCAATAAGGCTTTCTGCTTCCTCCAGCTTGCCGGTTCGACCCAAAAGATCAATCATGCATGAGTAATGCCCTGCCTCTGGTTCGATCCCGAATTTCTCAGTCATCATATTGAAATATTTCTTGCCTTCCTCAACTTTTCCAGTGTGTGCACATGCAGACAGGACTGAGATGAATGTTATGCTTGTGGGAGCCATATTCCCTGCAAGCATCTGTTCAAAAAGCACAAGGGATTCCATGCCACACCCGTGCTGAGCATAGCCTGCAACCATGGAATTCAAGGACACACTGTTATGCTCAGGCATCCTATCAAATATTCTCATGGCATCTTGAAGACTCCCACACTTGGAATACATTGCAATCAGAGCATTGTTCACCGCGATTCTGTTTGTTGGAATGTAAGATTTGATCGCCAAAGAGTGAATCTGTTTCCCCTGCAGAGGGGACGACAGATTAGAACATGCACTGATCACACAAACAAAACTGCAATCATCAGGTCGATGGCCAGCACGCTGCAGGCGCCTAAAGTAAGCAACAGCCTCTTCGGAGAACTCCTCAAACAGCGAGTACCCAGATATCATGGTGTTCCAGAGAACTAGGTCGGGATCAGGAATTTCTTGAAACGCCTTTCTGCAATGCAGCATACCACCACTGCATTTTGAGTATAAATCAATCAAGCCGCTTCCAACATGGGGGTTCTGATGAAAACCCATCTTGATTAGCCGAGCATGAAACTGAAGCCCACCATGAAAGTCCTCCATGGATGTAAATGCAGTTAAGACACTGGCTAAGGTAAACATGTCCTCCTTTAACTCCATCCGCACCATTGCTTGATACAAAGCCAGAGCTTTTGACCCTTCCCGGTGCTGTCCATAAGCAACAATCATCGAGTTCCAGGAAACCTCATCTTTAATCTCTCCCATTGCTTCAAAAACCTTCTTGGCCTCAGCTAAATGGCCAGTTTTACTATAACAGGTAACGAGCGTATTATTTACAGAAACATACGCATCAAACCCACCCGAAACAGCCAAAGAATGAAGCTGAACAATCAATTTTTTATCATCACAAGAAGCCGTGATTGCCCCCGACAACGTAAACGCATCAATGTCCAGCCCCATTCTCCTCATACCAAGAAACAGTTGAAGAGCAGGGACGGTGTCTCCACGGTCGGCATAGGCGGAAATGAGGGTATTATAAGAGACGAGGTCTGGTTGGGGAATTTGATCAAACAGCTGGTGGGCAACATGCGGCTGGGATTCTTTAGCATAGGCAGCGACAATGGCGTTGTAAGAGAACACATTCGGTAAGGGGGTGGAGTCGAATGCCGTCCGGGCGTCGGATAGGCGGCGGCATTTGGAGTAGAGGAGGATGAAGTGGTTGGAAATGTAGGTAGACGGCGGGATAAGAAAGGACTTGATGTATATAGCATGGAGAGACTTTCCGGTTGAAAGGTCCCTCTCGGCAATGCATGTCTTCAAAATGTGCCGGAATTGTTGCAGGCTCCACCATACTTGGTTCATCTAATATCCCCAAAGCTTCTCCGGCACCACCGTCGGACGGCGATGCATCATATAAATCCTCCGCCTCTCCTGTCCAAAAATACCCGCCGTACTCAAATTCCAATTGTAGTGCCATGGACCCGGGTCCATCCTGCAAGGTGGACCAAAACGCGCGTTTGAAATAACGATTCTGTTAGTGACACACTTTCCTTCGTTAATTTTTTTTTTATTTTTTATATTAAGATTTAAAATTGTGAATATTTAATTATAAAATTGTGAATATATAGTTATGTAATTGTGAATATTGAGATCTAAAATTGTGAATATAGACAAACGAATTCTGAAGACAAACGGCAAGTTAAAGGAAGTTTTTTTTCGTTTTTTGTTTTTTTCTTTTTTAGTTCAGACGGCATTGTTTTGGACCCGAGCTCACGGCATAATTTGTCCTCAAATTCACTTCGGGCTTAACTTTGGGCCATGACCACATCAAAAGTCCAGTGGGAGAAATTAGTGGGCTCGGGTCTAAGGGCCCAAATGAGATTTCACATTTTGGGTGTGTTTAGTTCGCACATAGGAATCAGAATCGAAATGGGAATCAAATACTTGGTAATAGTAATGGGTTTTGGTGAAAGTATTGAGCATGTTTAGTAGTAGGGTGGAATAAAAATGGTTACTAACAGTAGTGTTTGAGAAGGAATAAGGGAATGAAACCCTTATTTTAGAGTAAATACCCAAAATGGTCCCTCGACTATAGCTAAATTCACAAATTGATCCTCGACTTTTAATTTCAACCAATTAAGTCCTTAATTTTGTAATTTTAACACAATTTGGTCCTCTGTCTATTTGACCATTTGTTGACTATGATTTTTGAGGATATATATGTAATTTCATGGTTCATCGTCGGTTTTTAAGGTTCCGGTTGCATTTCCAGACCGTACTGTTACATTCGAATCCACTGCCGAAAGCAATCTACCAAATCCGGTCGCCGTTCTTCATTCTCCCTTTGGATTCAGTGTAGTTGAGTTCGTACCAGAGCGAAGAAGACGACATGTTTTCGAACCAGTGCAACGTCATCCTAGAGGCCTCCACGTGCTCCGACGAGAGCTGAAAGTTCTTCTGGAGATCGTCAATCACGGTCAACAAACGGTCAAATAGATGGTGGACTAAATTGTGTCAAAATTGCAAAGTTAAGGACTTAATTGGTTGAAATTGAAAGTCGAGGACCAATTTGTGAATTTAGCTATAGTCGAGGGACTATTTTGAGTATTTACTCCTTATTTTATTTGGGTATGCGTTTTTTAATTAATGAAGTATTCGAAATCCATAATAGTGTTCTAAAAACCTATAAACCAAAAGCCTTGTTTGGCAATCAGCGGTTAACAAATAGCGGATTAGATTAGCGGGTTTGACCAGCAGATTGTATCAGCGTTTTATAAAAAAAAAAAAAATGTTTGGTAAAATTAGCTGTTTAGATTAGCGGTTAACATGTAAAATAACCCATAAGGACATTAGTGTATTTTTTTATTGGTATTGGTAATAATATTATAATAATTTATAACCATATAAAAATTAATAATTCAAATGAACAATACATTTGAAATTGAATAAAATAAGTGTGAGTGTATGCCACCAAATTAAAAAAAATGTAACAATTAAATTTAATTATAGGAATGCAAAGTTGCATTTTAGATGAATGGAATGAAGCATACCACAAGTCAGCGTATATGAAAAAAAAAAAAAAAAAAAAAAAAAAAAAAAGAGAAGCAAGGGCAAAATTGAAATTTAGAAAATAAATGGAGAAAAACTAATGCTAAACGCTGCTCCCAGCAGCGTGTCAATTTTAGCGGATTGGACAGCATTTCGCTAAGTGAAAAAGTCATTAACCAAACGTCTTCTTTAGCGGTTTGACAAAAAAGATGATCAAATCCGCTAAAAAATGGCGGATAAGCTGATAACCAAACATTACAATGGCCTTTATTTGGCAATCAGCGGTTAGCGGTTAGCGTTTGCGGATTGTATTAGCGGTTAACAAATAGCAGATTTTATTAGCGAGTTTGACCAGCAGATTGTATCAGCGATTTGTAAAAAGATGTTTGATAAAATTAACTGTTTAGATTAGCGGTTAAAATGTAAAATAACCAAAATGGTATAATAATAATAATAATAATAATAATAATAATAATAATAATAATAATAATAATTTTTGAAATAATAATAATAATTAAAAAAACAAAAATGATGTAGGATAAGAAACACACATCGAAAGTTTATAAAATAAATGGCGTTGAGCTCCCTTATAAAAGGGAGCTCAACGCCAATTAATTTCTCTTGCCCATCCCACATCGGATGGGCAAGAGAAGTCGGATGGGCAAGAGAAGAGAAGCCTGAGGCTTCTTTATTTAAAGAAGCCTCAGGCTTCTTACGAATTAGTTTAATTTTTTTATTTTTTTTATAATAAATAAAATAAAATGGAGGGTGTTTCCGGGAAGGATTTTCCTTCCCCAAAATGCCAACCCCAAACGCTGCTCCTAGTAGCGTTTGGAGCAAATCGTTGCTCCAAACCGCTGAGTAACCAAACATGGTTTTTGGTGTTTTGACTTTCGTCAAAATGTCAAAATGGTGGATCCGCCAAAAATTTGGCGGATCCGCCATTAACCAAACAAGGTCAATAACAATCACTTTTATACTCATTCATGTGAGCAAAACCCGTCAACAAAACACACCCCTTGACAACTTCAACTTCGCTTTCAGCTTTTTCAGATTTTGAATTCAAGTCTTACAAACAATTTTTTTTTTTTTTTTTTTTTTTTAAATAAGGGTGTGTTTGATTCATGGCTTTGCACATTGGAATGAAAATCAAAATCATAGTCAGTGTTTGATTAATAATTTTTTAAAACACAACTATAAGATTTGATTACCCCCCTTTAATTAAAATTTTTATTCCGTAAGTAAAAATGCATTATTCCATCTTATAAGTAATCTAACTTTTAAGTTTGGATTAATGCTTTTAGATTTTTGTTTTGATTTTTTTTTTTTGTTCATATTGATGCTTTGGATGCTATTATATTAGGATCAATTGCTTTGATTTTTTGTTTTGTTTTGTTTTTTTTTTTGTTTTTTGTATTTTGTTTTTTTTTTTTTGTTTTTTTTGTTTTTTTTTGTTTTTTTTTGTTTTTTGTATTTTTAAAATCTTTATTCTCATTATAGCAATTGTTATACAATGGACCAGGGTTCATATTGCATTGTGAACCCTGATACAAAAATTATGTACTTTCCGTTAACACATTATGTATTTACAATTAACAGTTTATGTACATGTAAACAAATAACTTAATAATTGCCATGGTTGCAGTAGGCGCTAGGCGCTAGTCGGACGCCCGGACAGCGCCTAGCGCCTAGGCGGGCGCCAAAAAAACAGTGGTAGACTTGCAGTTTGACAATTTTAATGAGGTTGTTTTCAACATTTAATCAAATAACACATCCAAATAAATGAATTAATGATAATTCATAAGTCATAACATCAAAACAATGGTTTTCAAAAAAAAAAAAAACATTAAAACAATATTAAAAATTAAAAATACACAAATATGAAATACTCAAATACTTCAATCATCCAAAAATTCAAAGTATCAAACTAGTCTACGAGTGTATATATGTCATATTATATATATGTATGCACACACACACACACACACACACACACACACACACACACACATATATATATATATATATATATATATATATATATATATATATATATATATATATATATATATAATAAAAAAATAGGCCGAGCTGATCGGGTTAACTCGACCGAAATGGACGAGTTAACTCGACTAACTTAGACGCTAGGCGGCCAAATCGGCCGAGTTAGGCGCTATCCGGGCGCCTAGGAGAGAAGTCGCCACGGTCTAGAGGCGCCTAGACCGATTCCTGATAATTGCTGACACATAATATGATAGCTACAGGTACATAAATTATCAACTGCAGGTACAGAATATGTCAACTATAGATACAGAATCACACATAATATAACCCAACAGGGTAGCTCAAGTGGCAAATGAGCTCTCTTTATGGAGGAGAATTCTGGGATAACCTGGGTTCAATTCCCACAAGTGATGATTTTCTTTGGGCCAACTTTTGTGCCTCTCGGAGCGAACCGGGTGGACCTGGACCGTTAAATGGACAGAGAAAGATCCGGACCACAATGTGTGATTGACACCAAATAAATGGACAGAGAAAGATCCGGACCACAATGTGTGGTTGACACAAAAAAAAAATAGAATCACACATAATATGATAGCTGTAGGTACAGAATATATCAACTAAAGATTATTTTTGAACCATGATCGATGTACAATACAAGGTAGACCCTGGTCCACGATATAATTAACCCCATTATATGGTCATACGCCACTAAACATCAATATTCGTAATATCATTTCAATTTCACTTTACTACCAAACATACACAACATTTTCACCAAAACTCATTATCATTTACAAATATTTGATTCTCATTTCAATTCCAATTCCCATGTACGAACCAAACACGCTCTAAGTCAGAGTTCAATATAACTATCAAATACTGAAGCGTCTTTGTCGAGGTCAACCCGGACCTAAGGTATGGGATGATGGTGGTGGTGAGCCAAGGCGGGGCCAAGTCTTGATGGCTTCCATATCATAGAAGGATTAGAAGCGAACACAATAACATGGCGGAGAGGGAATAGTTAGGAATTCCTCTTAGAACTGAGGAGAATAAGTCATAAAGTGAGACCAGTAATGGGCCTCCAAGCTCCTTAAATTTGGGCCCCCATACTTAGTTGTCACCTGTCAGTTAGCCCAACTCTCACAAGGTGAACTGCAACGTGCCTCCCACCTGGGAGATCAAACACACATATATCATTATGAACATCAAATTCTCCTAAAACAAACATGCACAGGTTTATGGGGTCTGTCCCTCCCATGCCCCTCTCTCTACTCATCCAATTATACATTTCACATTCTTTGTTTCCCAAATCATGCACTGCGAAAGTCCAAACTGATAGTTAGACTGTTTGATTTTGATATCAAATTAAAGTGTTTCGTCTTGACAGTTGTTATAGCACTGGATTGATTATTGGAGGTAG